TCTTCAATCAGATGTTAGTCTAATTGTAACTGCATGTTGCCAGGTTTCGAGTCAAGCTAATTGATTGATGGTTATGTTGGCCCTCTTTGGATGAGTGGTTTGGGGATGAAAACCTGTGTAAAATGCATGCCTGGAATATGCATGTTTCACTGGAAAAACATGGTTTTTATACCAATTCCGTCACTTCAGTTAGGTATCCAATGTTGCAGTAATTATTCTTTCATGTTGTGCACATTATTTTCTTGAGAAATTTTGTTATCGTTGGAGAAATGAGGATGGTTGTCGAGGAGCAGTCAAGTGGCTACAACAACATAGTACCTGGACTTACTAAATGTATACTACGGAGTAAATAGGTGGGAATAGCACTAGCATTTTCTTCAATTTTTATTATGCCACTTCTGGTTTTTAGATGTGGCCTTGTACCTGCCTTTTCCCTTCCCTCAACTGCTCCCAAAGGGCGACTCGGGGGCAACCTCGTCAATGCCCTTCAGACCTACCCCTCCCTAGCTCCCCTCCGATGTGCAGCGGCAGTGCCCCGAAAAAAGGTGCCCACCGCAGCCCCTTCCTCACCCCACGCCTCCCTCCCACCCCTCCACAACCATGCCCTTCCCTGTGCTTCTCCGGCGGGCTGGCCATCAGGCGTGCCAGATCTGAGCTCCTCAGGGCCGAATCTGGCATCCTCTCACCGTTTTGTGACATCGCGTTCAGATTGTGGCGGAGTTAGCGCATCGGGCGCGGTGTCCACCCTTGCTGCCACAGCAGCTTTGGCTTCACGGAGGGAGGGCACGTGCGGTGCAGACGGGCGAGCAGCTGCTGCCGGCCTCGCGTGGCCCCCTGGCGCATGACTCCCGTTGCACTCCATGGCGGTCGGTGCGGAGGTGCCGGCGGCCAATGGTCAGATCTGGCCTTCCAGCAGCATGGTGGCTGACCCCGTGGCCTCCAGGCTCACAGGGCGGTGGGTGACCAGCGGCCATAGCCGTCTCTTCTTGGTGGATACTTTGCCACCACGGCTTCACCTCCCTTGTTGGCAGCCTCCGTGTTGTGTCTTTTCCCTTGCACGTCAAGTCGGTTAGGTTCTGGCGGGGCCCTCTCCCTACCATGTTTCTTTCTTTCTCTTGTGCTTTATTTAAATTGAAAAGGGGGTTTACAAAAAGGTTACAGTAGGGCTTCAAGAGACCCAAAAGAAAATAAAGAAAATGCGGTTGCCAAAGAAAATGACAATAGATTTTGGATCCGTAAATAAAAAGTTGCTAAATATTTGGCTTTTGCTCTTAGGGAGAGGTTTCATCTCCTTTTCGAAACTGAACTTGACTGCCTCCAAACTTTGCTGCACATTGTTGAAGACGAGGTCATTTCGTGTCTTCCAAATGGCCCGAGCTTTGTTGCACATTGTTGAAGATGAGGTCATTTCGTGTCTTCCAAATGGCCCGAGTCATCGGTATGGCTATCATCATGAAGAATCTAGGATGAGACTGAGTTCTGACAGTTTTTGTGGCCTCTGGGAGGGTTGTTTCGTCGTCCAAATTTATATGCACCAGGCTCCAATGTGATATGATGCTTGGAGGATGAGATGTGGACGACAAGGGAGTGGCTCATGAGGTTGCATGAGCGGATTGAGCCTATGTAGGAATAGAGAGAGTTCCAACTAGAGTTGTTTTAGGCCATGTTTATTTCCACGTTTTAGCGCGTCTGTGACTGGCAGAAGCTGATAATCCTGCTGAACGAGTGACGACGGCCTCCAACGCGAACACACGTTCCTGTTCGATTATCACCCCACAACGGCGATTCGGAAAATGAGCAACGGGCTGCGATTTGGAAAACACAAGCCACACGTTCCGTGCCTGCCCGAGCGCTCACCCCTCAGGTTGCCCTCCTCCTTCACCGCCGCCTAGTCGCCGACCCCCGCTGACACATCCATCCCTGACTTGCACAACCGTCCCTTCCTCCGCCCTCTGTCCTCTAGGTCCGGCACCACAAGGCGGATCTCCGCCACCGCCGCATCCCACTAGGCGCCCCACCTCGCTCTGCCCCATCCGCTTGTCCTCTCTGCAGCAGCATGCACCGCCGCCCTCCTCCGCCCTGCACCACCGCCCTCCATCCGCCTAGTCTCTCCTCTGGATCTGGCGCCGCTGTGCGGATCTGAGGCCAGTCGCGGCTGGAATCGGCAGCCCCACTGTCCCCTTCGTTGATTTTGAAGATGGACCGGGATGCAAATAGAAACTTTTAGCTGAGTTCAGTTGCAAGGCTACACACTCACAAGAATAGTAGTAGATAGTGCTACGCAGTTTGAGAACAGTCCAGGGTTCCCCATGCAAAATGTTATTTTGTAATCTACCAGAAATAATCAGGACAGTCAAATGCTCAGCTTATTCAGACAACAGATTCTCCAGATCATGGCTCATCAAATAATCCTGCTCAGCTTATAAGTGAGACTCAGAAAAGCAGAAACAAATAGGGTATTACTTTTCTTATGGGATGGATGGCATGATGTACGAGCTTAGGGCATGCCCAGCTGTCCCTGCCACTCCTTATCTCCATAAAAATGTCATCTTTGGATGACAGACCATTTTCCTTGCTCAGCAGTCTCCTAATAGCTCTTCTTTTTTTTTTCTTTTTTTTGGGGGGGGGGGGGCATCAAATTTTTTGCCATCTCCCCTCAAATAAAGGAGGACTTGCATATACCCCAATATGCTACGGCCTACACCAATAGTTAATCACCGAAAGAACACCTCTAGCTAGGTCTTCATCAGGCGCTTGATCAAGGTGGAGGCCTGTGGGGACCTGCCAGAGTCACACCCAACATTCGTCGCGGACTACCTCTCGGTGGCGACCTTGTTTGGCTGCATTAATTTGTATGCACCTCAATCTATATGTATTAATTTTCTTTCGTCAGTCCATTCTAACACACATGGATATAAGGTCAATAAAAGTGCATCCGACTAAACCCACAGATGGATGGGCTAGATCGTGAGGTGTGGTGCTATGAGGAGAAATAGTTACTGCATTTGATTGGGGAGGGCTAGCGGGTTCGGATCAAGAAGGTGAACGCTGGGTAGCAATTTCTCTTGCCAATGGAGAAGTGTTAAATTATTGTAAATAGATGCACAGTGAATGCAATGGATAATGACGAAGGTTTAATTTTAAGATAATGATAAAGTGGATTATATTATGAGACATTTTAAATGTGGACTGCTCCAACTTTTGAAACATCCAATCTTGAGTACAAAAGCTCACGATTTTCCATTCAAAGGTGAAATTTCGTGGCAAAGATTATTTCAGTCTTTGTGAGCTAGCATACTTTTGAGTTTGATTGCGAGCCCTTCTTAAAGCATACATGAACGTTTATACATGTACAAATTGAAACAGGTTCAAATTCAAACAAACATTTATACATGTATAAATTGAAACATGTTCAACTTTAGTTTCCATTCAGTGAAGCCTTGTTTCGGCCTGTTAAAACAGGTCCTATTTGAAACAGGATTGGATGAAGCAACGAGGTGTATTGATCACAAACCTGAACACTTATACATGCACAAGCCTACAAGGCGTCTACACTACACAGGAGGCTAGCTAAGCCAGCGGCGCAGCTTGCAGGGCGGGGACGCTGCTGGCGTGAGCGTCGTGCGCGAGTGCATGCACAGCGATGGAGGCGGTCTTCCGGTGGAAGCGCTCAGTCAGTGGACTGCGTGCTCGATCTCAGGCAAGTGGACTGCGTGCTGTGTATGGAGATCTGGACTGCACGTGCATGTTGCCTAAAGTCGGATACTTTCTGATGGAGATCTCTTCTCTTTCAAAAAATCGTATTTGGCTAAGAGCATCTCCAAGAGTTCCCTAAATATTCCTCATAAAAAGTCTATGTTTACCAATCTTAAAAATGTTTTCGGAGAAAAAAAAATTCATCTCCAATAGTTCCTAATATTTGACTTTAAAAAATCAAATGCTACGTCCTGGAAGATCTTGCGCCACTCACGTTCGTCCCGCTCGGGGCTCCCAACCACCCCCATCATCATCACGTCCCACAGCAGCTGCGTCTCGGTGGCCTTCTCGTCAGCCGGGCTCGATCCAACAACTAGGTCCATCACGATCACCCTGCCGCCGTCCTCCCACGAAGGGATCGCCTCCCTGCACCGCCGCAGTAAACGCACGCAGTTCTCGTCGTCCCATCCATGCAGGATCCACAGCACAAGTACACAGCAACCGCGCGCAATGTCATTCATCAGTTTCCCTCGCATCTCGTCTGTCAGCGGAGCCAAATAAAAAAAACAACGAAAGTTCAAACCCCCCAGGACAAGGAGATTTAGAAAAGAAGAAAACAAATTCTCAAGTCCGTTCCCTCGCATCTCGTCTGTCAGCGGAACTCCCAGAGATAGCTCCGCACCTCACGCCGCCGCGCGCTCCGCGGCCAACTCGTGCCAGGTCCACGCCGCCGCCGCGCACCCCGCGGTTCCGCATCACCGCGTCAATGCAAGACCCGGCGCTCCATGGCGCCTCGCTCTCTCCGAGCAGTAGCATCGGCCGCAAGCCACTGTTGTAATCTATATATGACACGACACAGATCCTATCTCATTTGATCAATCCTTCCTCTTTCGCGTCGCTAGGGTTTCTCCCCTCTTCCTTCGCCTTAATTCCGGTCGATCCTAGTAGCACGCGATGCTCTCCGGCGCCGGATCCCACTCCGCGCCCACAGGTGATGGGGGCGGCTACCCCTCCGACAGGGGTGGCGCCGCGCCCTCGGCCTCGGTGTTGGTCTGCACGCCACACAGTGAGAGCACCGTCGCCCGCCGCCTCAACGGACTTGACATCCAGGGAGACGACACACCATCGTCGCAACCAACCGCAAGGTGTGTGATTCCATCGTTGCTTGCTGAGTTAGGGTTTCGGCTCCCCTTCTTAATTTACTTGCTCATTCAGACTGTCTGATGTGCCGCGTGAGTAGTGGTGATTCCATCGTTGCTTGCTGAGTTAGGGTTTCGGCTCCCCTTCTTAATTTACTTGCTCATTCAGACTGTCTGATGTGCCGCGTGAGTAGTGGTGTCGGGCGCAGCCACGCGTGCGCCAGCCTCAGCCGTCGGGCGGCCGCACGTGCGCGTGTGCCCGCTCCGGCTGGCCGCGGCCTCCGGTGGACGCCGCACCTCCCCTGGCTGCCACCTGCTGCCCCTCCCCACGCCGGGCGCGGCCCTCTGGTTGAAGCCGCCCCTGCTCTGCTTCACTCGGGGAACTAGGCGCGGCCCTCTGCTCTGCCTCGCCGCCCCTGCTCGCGGCCCTCTGCTCTGCTCGCCGCCCCTGCTCAGCTTCTCACGGGGAACCAGGCGCGGCCCTCTGCTTTGCTCGCCGCCCCCTGCTCTACTTCGCTCGGGCAACCAGGCGCTCTCCTCTGCTCTGCTCTGCTTTCTCTTGGAGCAGAGTAGCTGCTCTGCTCTGCTTTCTCTTGGAGCAGAGGAGAGCTCCATTGCCAAAACGCCTAGGAGCACCTAGGACCGAGTACTCTCGACTAGGCGCTAGGCAATGGGTCAGCGCCTAGATTCCGCCTAGCGCCTAGTTGAACTTTGGATGGTACCATGTCGATGTGCACATGTGTGGCCTTTCGTTTGTTCTGGAGTGTGGGAACAATTGCCGAATTGGTGAAAGTGGTCGCTACTGTTTTTAGAGGATCCTTTTGAACCTGACTAAATTGTTACGGCTCTTTTACAAGCTCTAGATTTGCCTTATTTGTGGCTCTTTTACAATTGCCACACATTAACATTGCTGTTAATGTAATTGCATGCTCGATAAATTTATTCTTAAGTTTGTTTCCTGACTCATTGTTATTAATATTAGGAATTCTATCTAGTGCTTGTGGCATCTTAACTGTATTGGTTTTGTATTTATTCATTCTATCATGAAACGGAAACACTGGAATTTATCCTTTTGGTAGCTCTTGTTGCAGCTTATGATATATAGAATGATTTTTGGATGATTTTCTTTTTTTTATGTAATGGCACCTTTGCACAGAGAAGAGAACATGACTTTTGTAATGGCACCTTTGCACAGAGAAGAGAACATGAGTTTTGGATGAGATTTTTTTTTTTGCCACCTTTGGTATCCCTTGTTGATTTCTTTAGGTGTATATTTTTTCTAGGGTTGTATACTCTAGCTTAATGATTGATCCAGAACTAGTAATATTTAAATAACTTAAATTTTGTGTTTTGCTTTACCTCATGCTAACTTCGGCTTGCTACTGTTTCATATTTGGTAACTTGCATTATATCTTATTTTCACTTATTTATCTGGCCATTCATGTAACGCATTTCTAAAACATAGCTGGTTCTCTATTTATGATGCAGCAAGAAGAAAAGGAGAGGGGCACGAGCAGTTGGCCCTGACAAAAATGGTCGCGGATTGCGCCAATTTAGCATGAGAGGTGGCTTAAAGAGTTCATTTACCACTTATACATAAGGGAAATGAGATTGACATAAAAGTCTCTCTTTTATTTCAACTGTGCCTACCACAATTTTTTAATTATTTCTTTGTTTTGTTTGTATCATACATGTTCTGTACTGTGCCGTACTATGTTTGATGGGGCCAATTTATTGAGCTGGAGTTCGCTAAATGTTAGTGTTATGAAGTCTCATGAAGTTTTAATTTATTCTTTTTCAGTTTGCGAGAAAGTCGAAAGCAAAGGGAGAACAACCTACAATGAGGTATCTACCATCTTTTCTATGTTAGCTATACCTAGTCTTATTTGGTACGGTTACATTGTATAAGGCTAGTCTTGGTGAGGAGTTTCATGACGTTGTTTCCAAGACGGCCATATCATATAGAATGAAATGAAACATGAATGAAACACCCACTCTCAATGGAAAGTTTCATTCTATTGTTTCGTCGGCATTTAATTTCATGACTTGTAGAGAGTTGGTAATCATGCCGAGAGAGTCTGATCCCCATGAAACTCATTTCTTCTCTCTCTTCTTACAAACATTGTCGCATCATCGAAAATGCTTATGTGGCAGCTTATTACATACAAATGAAACTTCCACTCAGAATGGCCTAATAACATCCCTTTTCGCAAAGCAGAAATTAGTATAAGCAGCCGGTCAACATCAGCTACTGTCATAGGAGGAGTGGCACAGAAGATAGCCTCACCTCCAAAGTTTACAAGTAAATCACATGTGCTTACCATTTGTTCCATATGCTTTACACCTGTGTAGATATTCAGCAGAAGAGCTAGTGTCTCCAGAAGAGCGCTGATATTGATAAGAGGTGGCAGATAAACTGTTATATTTAATCCCTCCATTTCAAATTGTAAGTCATTCTGTCTTTTCTTAGTGCATAGATTTTTCCTATGCACCTAGATATTAGCTATGTCTAGATGTATAGTAAAATCAATGTATCTTAAAAGGCCAAAATGATTTACAATTTTTAATGGAGGGAGTACATGATATGTTGATATGTGTAAGTAAACTGTTACTGCGTGGATGTGCCACTTCTTGTCAATATACCAGTACCTCTCTGGGGCATGAAAAACGCAAACAGCATCAAACTATTGTTTGTAGTTTCTTATTTTTCAGAAAAGGAATAACTCTTAACTAATGAAAAATATTCTGGAAAGTTACTTTTGTGGATTGTCACAACTTCACAATGTTAGATATTGATCTATACAAGGAATATGTCTTGGTTTATCAGTGTTAGATGGAGATTCTGCTTTGGTCCCTCCTCCATCATTATTTTTAGTTCAATGAAACCATTGCATCCCCTTTTCTCCTGCATCTCCTTCTATCAATCTGTTGCAGCATCAGAAAATTTATGCATATGGCCTGCATTTTTCAGGTGGCAGATGAACTGGTTGCTGAGTTTTCAGATACCAATATTAAAATTGACTCTCCAGATCCTGATAATCCCACCGCTGTAAGACAAATACTACTATGACCCTTGGTCAGTGATTTATCAAGTAGTTAAAAGCCATTCTGATTATGTTAAAAATGCAGCAACAATATGATGAGAAAAATATTCGAAGAAGAGTTTATGATGCACTACGTCAAATATCATTTTCACGGGAGGCTACAGTGCATTTGTAGGGGCGGTTCGGCCAGCCGCCCCTACACAAGGGTCTCTACAAATCATGCATTTGTAGGGGCGGTTCCCAGACCGCCCCTACAAATCGATTTGTAGGGGCGGTTGGTACTGTAGCCGTCCCTACAAATCAATTTATAGGGGCGGTCTGGGAACACCAGCCGCCCCTACAAATCGATTTGTAGGGGCGGCTATAGTACCAACCGCCCCTACAAATCATTTTTCCACCAAAAAAAATTTAAAATTTACAATTCAAATTGGAGCAGAACATATATTTTTCAATTAGCATTAAAGATAAACAAGATCACTAAATTCATATAGTAATATTTCAGAGCAAATCAATTGAGACCTATGAACTACAGGAAGCAGTAAAAGATTCACTGTACAGTTCTGTAGAAGTTTACATGAGCTCTCTAGTCAGATGCGATATTATGTATCAAAATGACAGCATATGGCCAGGTAATCAAGGTCCTATTCTCTTCAGAACTAGCATGCATTTCCAACATATGGGTTTTCCAAGAGAACTATAAACTCAAGATACAAATCAGGAAGGAACTGATCTTATCCAAACTATAAACATGGCATAGTTTCAGTCTTGCAAGTTATATTACCTGCATAAATATTGATACTATGAGGAGTGGCTTGTCTCCCACCTTTAGACGTCTAGCCTGCAAAATGCTTTTGGTAAACTGGGGAGGTAGAAAATCACTTGTAAGTTTTTAAATAAAGTGTTCAGTTCCTTACCTGAACTAAAACCTCTTGCTTTCCTACAGCTTTTATAAGAATAGAAAAGAGAGATAAATCAACACCACTTGGAAGTAAAGTAGCTTCAGCCAACAGTATAGCAGCTGACATACAGCCAAGGATAACAGCAAATGCTTTTTGAAGCTGCTTTCTCAGTATACAGCGCCAAATGAACTCTGGAAATGCAACAAAGTATCCTTGAGTCAGCTCCATTAAATGTTAACCACATGTAATAAATTTATGCAAACCACGTAGCCCTAACTCCTTCATGATACTGCAAACCACCGATGTAACTACCATCACACAAAATCTACAAACAATGATATCAAAGACAGAGATCATATTTCTCAAACCTCAATAGTAGTCTTATTATGTAAGATGAGGCAAACATGCCAACCCAATAGAACCATCAGTGCCAACGCTAAAGGGCACAGAAGAACCCCATTGACAATCTGTGCAATATATAACATCTGAGTTATTCAAACATAACTTCAGACGAAAATTCAGATGGTGATTGATTTGCTCGTAGCTGAAACATCCTTCCAGGGTACTTACAATAGATGTTCTAGAAGAATCACTGCCTGGTTGTTCATCTTTGGGTAAATGCACAGCACCACCTATAATGAGAACCTGATGTAAACATCAATAACTTTATGCTCAATCTTTGAGAAGCTTTGGTTGCTCAAGAAAATCAAGGATAACACAATACCATAGAATAGAAGCTTGCAATTACAGCATACAGAACAAAAACTAGGAATATCTTGTAGTTCTCATGCCCAACACAGTTATTAATCCATATACAGTAGTGGTCCTGCACAGGACAGTTGTTAAATGCAGATTAGAATTAAAAATACAAAAAAAGAGGAGTTGCACATAGCACTAGTCAGTACCATTCTTAGAACACATCTTTTGCAGACACGACAATGGTGTGCTCGAGGAGGTTTATAATGGGAAGATTTCTGGCAGTATCTCAAGTCACCACCCTGCAATGTTCTGGAGTAAGTTAGCACACAGTCCCCTGTACTAGTCTAATTTAGTCACAAAGACTCCTTTTTAACATTATTCGCAAAATAAAATTACTACACTAGGATGACACTGCCCAAGATGAGATGGAGGATAACCAGCGATATGCAACCCGCTGAGATGCTGGCAAAGTGGCAAACTCATAAGCTAGTTTATAAGTAGTCAGAGGGAACTATTCTTCTAGTCCCACTGAATGACGCTTTTGTGCGGTCTGTTTGGGAGTCCTATACTTTGAGTTCAGCTAAGCTATTTGTCTAAAATGTTTTCAGGTAATTGCTTTGACATTCTGTTTCTGATTGTAATACTAATGGACCATGGCCCCCCTAGAACTCTAAAAAACTAGAAAATGCATGTGAATGTGAACTCTAAAAAGAATGTATAGGACCATTCCCATGATCCCGACTAAGAATCCAAATCTCACGCGCGGAACTACGAACTCGCCGGACGCCCGGACCTTGCTTGGAGGCAATGCCTACTCGAAATCTAATCCCAAGATCTGAACTCGTAACGAAGTTTCTGATTCTACACGTATGACTACCATCCCAGTACGTAGATCTAAACTTCACAGCACGCAGCAGGGGCCTCCGCGAGATCTGGAGTGGTCCATGGCCCAGACGGAGGGAGGCAGGGGGGTGAATAGAGTACCTTGCGCTTGATCTCGTGGATGGGGCTCCCGACATCCTCGACGTCGGGCACGAAGGACGCCGGCACGCATCCCGGGTCGCGCGATATGGCGATGGCGTAGGTAGCGACGCAGGCGGCGGCTAGCGCGGTGAAGACCGCTGCGTTGGATCTAACAGCACCGATAGCCAAACCGGCGGAGCCCGGGGCCGACGATGGCCGGAACCTAGGGCGGTGGATGAAGAATTAGGGGAGGGACGCGGCAAGGAGCGGGCGAGGGGGGCGCTGCCGCGCCACGCGGGCGGGCGAGGAGCCGCGGCCATCCGAGCGAGGGCGAGAGAGAGAGAGAGAGAGAGAGAGAGAGAGGGAGGGGAATGGAAGACTCGAGACGGAGAGAGAGAGAGAGGAGGAGGAGGAGGGCTGTAGATATTTTTGGGTGGGTGATTTATTCACTGTACGTGGAGCATTTGTAGGGGCGGCTCAATCATTAGCCGCCCCTACAAATAGAAACACCGGGGGCGGCTGGTGAGTGAGCCGCCCCTATAAATCAGACCCATTTGTAGGGGCGGCTCGTATCACCAGCCATCCCTGCTGTTCCATTTGTAGGGGCGGCTGGTCTCTGGCCTCCCGAGCACGCCACTGTAGGGGCGGCTCCATCACCAGCCGCCCCTACAAAAAATTCGTGCCGTTGCTACAAACCTTTTTTCACGTAGTGATGCACTGAATGTCATAATGGCTATGGAAATTATATCCAAAGATAAAAAGGAAATACAGTGGAGAGGCTTGCCCAAGACAAGTATGAATGATATTGAAGAATTGAAGGTTCTGCTCCTTATCTCAAATAATCTGGATTTGATGATAATTTTACCCATTGTGCTCATTTCATTAAGTTTATGCATATGATGCAGACAGAGGTCAATGGACTGAAAGGTCGGGTTGACAAGAAAAATGCATATCTGCAGGATTTGGAAGATCAAGTAAGAATTGACTGGTTCCTCCTTTGTTAATTTCCTCATGATATAACCCAATTGATAATATGAATATTCTTGGTGTTCTCCAATCTTATACAAAAATATGACGGGTGACCTATTATGATTTATGCAGTACTTTTGATTCATACACATTAACTACCTAGCATTTTAGGTTTCATGGTTTTGTCCATGGGACTATTTTGAGAATAGCATTAAAATATTAACTCCCCTGGATCTTAAATTTGGAAGCGCTTCCGCATGCTGATGTGCCACAACAACCAGGTGCATACAGAATTAGGCGAATGGCTTGCCTTCTCTGCTGATTTGTTACATTATTCAAGCAAAAGGCAGAGATAGCTTTGTTTTTTTATTGGATTGTATAATTAAATCAAAACTGAGTTCAGTTACTACATGGATTTCAGGAATACTCCCTGCGTCCCAAATATAAGTGCATGTCTCGCATTTCGAGGAGTCAATCAATCTCATGTTTGATCAAATATATTAAAAATACTAATATTCATGATACCAAATAATAAGCATCATTAGATTAATCATGCTAGATATTTTCATAGTAAATCTTTGGATATGCAAATGTTGAAACTTGAAATTAGTTGACTCGAAATGTGAGATGTGCACTTATTTTGGGATGGAGGGAGTATATATTTTGAAGGGTCCTGTATGGCTGAATGATCTATTTTTATCTGGTTAGCTGCACAGTGGACTTTCGAGCTACAAATTGTCTCTCGATCTGAATTAATCATTGTAAAGTCATGATCCAGAACGTAGTATGAAGCCATTTTTCGTAAATGAACTGCATTGTTAACTACATTTCTCCATTGCACATTGAGTTAGTAATGATATTTGTTCCTTCATTTTTCAATGTTGATTTTGAAATGTTTTGAAACTCATTTGTTTGTTATGTTACCTCATGATTTGTGAACCTTATTTTTTTTAAGTATGTATGTCTCCAAAACTTGGTTCGACGAAATAAGCAGCTATATGGGGCCGGAGATGCACCTTCTGGTACATTGGCCTTGCCATTTATACTACTTCAGGTAAAAATAGTACTTCATCTTCCTCAAACATGGATCTAGAGATACTTCATTATATAATTACATTTCAATGCCAGTTTCAAAACAGAACATTCTGAGCCACTCCAGAGATATCGTATCAAGCGAGATGTCCTTGGAAGCAAATGGATTCTGCTGTGGGTTTGAATAGAAATGTTCCACCATACAAGGCCCTATTTAATTGTTTAGACGTTCGTAATGTCCACTTTCTATTTTTATTTTTTTTTGTAAAAAATGCCTCATCATTTCGTCACATTCTACAAATTGATCAAGAAATTTATTTTTTTATGCTAATTGATATTTACCCTTGATGTCTTAAATTTCATAAATAACAAGGTTTCAATATATGACTAATTTCCATAAAGGTTCCTATTGTTGAGTTTGGGACATAGAACTTGAACTATAATGGCAAAAATCATTAGAATTAAGGCCATAAAGAAACATTCTCAGTGAACTCTTGTTGCCTTGCTACCAACAGCTCCGTTCATCAGTTTTATTCCCCGTGTTATGGCTTCTCAACTTCATTATGCAAGTTCCATAATTTATTTGGCCATGATGTGCTAAATGACAATTACTTTCATTTGTTGTGTAACCAGACACGTCGTCATGCAAATGTACAAGTGGAGATGTCAGAAGATGACCAGACTGTGCATATTGACTTCGACAGGTAAGACAAGAATTACATTCTCTGTTCCTCTTTGCATTATCTTGTGAGCCAGATAAACAGTATTTAATAACATATGTATCTCCTGATTTTGGACTCCTGATGAAAAGATGTCTATTCATAAGAATGTGTTAGATCTATAACATCTTCTGGATGATTCAACAATTTTATTCCATGATTCTTCTGCTATTAGTACATGAAAATCTCTTTAATTATTTGAGAATGATAGGTTGGCTAATTTTTTTTAGAAAGTACAGGCTATATCTAATAGGCGGGGAGGGGGGGGGGGATGGCTCTGATGACTTTTCTCCCTTCTGTGATCTTAATATCCTAATCTATGAGCAGATGGAATACGAGTTCGTTGAATTATTATTCACTTGAGAACATCTAACTAACCTTTTTACTCGCATGAACTGATGATCGTTTTCTCATTTCTGCAATAGATGCTTTCAATTTTTTTCTTTGCCTTCAAGGTCTTACATACATTCTGAAGGCGTTAAGTCATTATAACTGAGCATGAAGGGTTTCTGAGTGCTAAACCCTTGCTGACTCACATATTTCTCAAAAATGCAGCACTCCATATGAGTTGCGCGATGAATCCTTTGTAATGAAAGCAATGGGATTATGTGGCAAAGAAGAAACGGATTGTACCCAAGTTCCTGTTGAAAAATGAAGGTGAGTGCTCAAGTACACCGAACAATCATTGGCATCAATCACCGCAGCCTCCAGGGCCAAGAGGAGTTAGGGTACCAAACTCGCTGACTATTCCAGGGATACTAAAAGGGCATGTCAAGCATATATGATGAACACTAGGAATAGGGTTGTCAGTGCACTCCAAGTGATATACAATAAAAGGCAAATGTTTGTTTACAATTCAGTTGCTTTCTTAAGGCAATGGCACATATCAAATTCCTGTATCGCTTTTTACTATGTGTACTTTTGCTCTTTCCAAAATCATATTTTACAAGCACATGATTCATTTGGTGCTGTAATAATTTTTCTTATTGAGCAAGAGTCAGGTAGGACATTAAATGGCTTTCTAGCAAATCTCTATTCATATAAATAGATATAAGGACAACTTAGTCTCATGGAAGCTTGTATTCCCTTAAGTTCTATTCTTTTCATATTGGAAAAGGCTGAGGTCACTAGCTGCTTTGTACCAGCTTGGCTTTGATTTCTTACAAAGTATTTAACTTGAAGACGCTAATTGGGGGTTTGGACTTTTATTTTTTTTATTTGGCTCCAGTCTACTACTGTTTAAGCAAATACGGTTTGAAAAAAAAGAACTCCTTTAGAAAATACCCTGTTAGCTACCCAACTGGATCACTCACAGATAACTCAATTCAAGTAGCATGGTATAGGACCTCAGGGGAGAGGGAGGTCGGAATAGAGAGGAAACCGGGTACAGAGAAGTCCAAGGAAGGAAGATGAACAATAGCAGTAAAGGGAAAAGATATTCCGTTGTTGATAATTTGTTTGATGCCCTTTTCAGCCGGTGCTACTGCGCTCTTGTAGGTGATGTCCAATGCTCCAGGCCAATCCTCGAGTAGGCCAAGGCCAGGGCCCAGGGCCCATATGATGGCCCATTCATGAGTAATCCCTGACATTCCCCCCTTCTTAAGCTTCGGCTTGCCCCCAAGCCGATGGAGAGTTTAGGTACCATTGGGATCCCAAAGGAACTGGACAATCACTTTTTCAGATGGATCATGAAGTTCAGATTGAGCAATAACTGAGAAATGCAGGAAACCGCCCCTTGAGATCAAAACTGCATCACAGTAAGAAGGACTACACATGTGGGAACCTGAACAACCACACAAGCTGCCAGCTTCTTCATGATTTAAGCAGAGCAACTAAAAAATGTACAGCAGAATTTGCAGCACTCCTAAAAAGCTGGAATCAAAAGCCAAACATTGATGGAACAATTCTTGTTTAAATTGCCAATGCTCCATGCCCTTGCACATGAGCTGGAACGCAAGAAAAAACGCAAGCCAACCACTTGTGTAACTGGTCCAGTTGGTCTTCTATCATCTATGAACTCAACTAATGCAGGTAGCTGCCATGGTGGCTTCCAGAGCAAGTGAGAACACAGCTAATTAGAAAGCCAAACCACTACTGTAAAGGGCCCAGGTGATGTTCCAATTTCAGCACTGTCCAAGAAGCTTCCAGGATTAACTGGTTTCAGTGGCGCAAATAGAACAGTGATCTTCTAGCTAAGCATAGGTGTATTCACTACCACAGGACCAAGTAGCGATATGCCAAGCACCATAGGGATGACAATAAACCTCACTGGTGTTATCATGTACTTCCAGGGCACTACAAAGTCAGAGAGCACACCCCTGAATTGAACACCACCAGCCTGCTCAAACTGCACAGGTGGCGGCCATGGTTGCCTGTGCGGCGATGCATCCCAGTGACAGTAGGTTGGAAAAGAGAAATAGCTCTGTATGCCTTTGTCAACCATGAATTGAGCTGAGGGTACACGAGCAATACATAGCATGTTTGAAATCTGCATGGTAGGTGGCCATAGTATCTCTGAAATAATGTGCTTAGCCAATTTCTCAAACACCACAGGGACCTCTTGGACGTCAGAAACAGGCCCAAACAGAGCAACACCATTGGAATGAGGAAGGAAAACAATAGCAGTGTACCTTGTCGGCAGCTTGTCAAACACCAATGGAGTACACAGGGAATCTGATACAGCAAAGATGTCCATATCAAGGTAGCACCTCAGTACTGCATCATGCGCCTCGCGCCCAAAATCAAGAACAGCCTGTGCTGCACATACCGCAAGGATGCTGATGACTGATGGGCAGTTTGGACAGATTCCAGTGTGCAACATCTCACGGAGGGTAGACAGTGCCTCCATCAAGAAGTCAATATGCTCATATGCTTTTATGATTGCACTCCATGGTCCATCATCTCTCTCACACATCCTGCCAAAGACTGCCTTGGCAGCACCCACCATCCGTCGCTGCCCAAACCCAATTAACATCGCATTGCAGGCGGCCAACAGGTGATCCAGCATTGCATTAAGCTACGCGGCCATCCTGTATATACCCAAATAGCATTGCAGGCCACAACACCACATTCCTCTTTGGCATTTCATCGAACAACTTGCGAGCCTCATCAACTCGGCTGGCGTCGAGGAGGCCACCGAGTAGCACCGTGTTTGGTATGGGGTTGCGCTCAGGCATCTGGTGGATGAGCTAGATGGCATCAGCCAAGAGGCAGTGGCGCACATACCCGCTGCGACGGAGTAGGTTGCGGCGGCACACCTCGTATGCCTCATGCTCACGCGGGTCGCACCCCTCGAACACGCGGAACGACTCCCCAGCCGGCGGCGGCAGCAGCGCGGAGGCGGCAGCTTGGGGGCGGGGCAGGGGCCGGACGGGAGCAGAGCTCCTCCGCGAGGGTGGACGCGAGCGGGGGCGGAGGCACTCGAGCTCGTCGATCAGAGCAGCGACGATGGGCTTGGAGGGAAGAACCTCCTCCTGCTCTCGGTTGAGCGTCTTGTAAGTGGGGATTTAGCTGTTGGTGACGGCGAGGTGGAACTCGAGGCAGTGGTGTACGATGCCAAGCTGCATCATGGCGGGGACAGGGACGCGGGTGCGATGTCCGTGCCGTCGCGGACGCCGATCACATGAAGCGAGGCGACACCATACGAGACGCCGGAGCGGACGCCTCCGCCGTGGAACGAGCCTGAGGAGGGCTATGGAACGGCAAACGTGGCAGAGCAGGCCGCCAAGGATGTCAGTTAAGAGGCAGAGCGTGCAGGCGCTGGGGCCGCAGGCGCGCTCGAGCCGGTACGTCCACGGCAGTGCCGTCGCAGTCACTGGCGACGACCCTCTGTGGCACCCGCGCGACGTGGCTGCGACCCAACATCGAGCACCCTGTGAACGATGCACGTGGGGTAACCGAGGCAGCGTGGAGGAGAAGGAGGTTGGAGGGGTCCGCGGCGGTGGGGACGGATCATGCAGCGTCGAGTGCGATGGCGACGAACTTCTCGGACGCTGGCGTATGCGGAGACGGCTCATCGAGCTCCTGGATCTAGCCCTGGTACCCCACTGAGGAAGTCTCCACGGGCGTGTTCTCCCTGACGGCTACCCAAGCGGCAGCAAAGTAAGTGGATGTGGCGTAGGGCGCAGGCGCGAAGGGAAGGGCGATGGAGCCAGTGGAGGTGGCGTCGGGTGCGGGGA